AATTAAAGAGGAAGAGAGATGAGAGGTACGATTAAGCTGTCAATGATAACAAGAAGAATCTCTCATAAAAAAAATGAAAAGAGAAGAAAAAAATCATCTTGAAACAAAGAAGAGTAGGGGGGAGGAGAAAGAACATCGATATCTTTTTCTTCGTGTTGTATTTTGGTTCAATTTTAAGTTAAATCACTATGTAAGACAACATGGAGAAAATTTAAAGATTTAAATACCTATAAATAAGATGTATAGGTTTATGCAAGGTTTTGGAGAAATTTTAATAAAGCTTAGTATTGTCTTCTTCCAAATTCCTGTGTTCCACTCCCTCTCTCTCTCTCTCTCTCTCTCTCTCTCTCTCTCTCTCTCTCTCTCTCTCTCTCCCTCCCTCCCAAGAACGATCAAGAAGAGCTTAAGATTCCTTCTAGATTTTACAAATTGGTATCAGAGCCCGTTGGAGCTGATCGGACAAAGTGATGTAGAGCATTATAAATAGGTTCTCTAGGGGAACAACATATATATACTCACATGCTCTAAATCTGTTAGTTAAGATTTACTCCATTACTTGTTATTACTAGTACTTTTGCAATTAAGAAGTGAGAGGAGAGGTCTGTGATTAGGCTGAGGAAAAGTTCGTGGTCGCGTGCGGTTCGAGCGTGTAGGGCACGGGATGCCGTGCGGACATTGGAGGAAAAGTAGAATGGGCTTGGGTCTCGTGGGAGCGCACTAGCTGACGGGTGCAAGGCACAAGGTTGAACTGAGTACGTGAGGTTGGGGTTGTAGCATAGGAGCGAGCTCACGTGGGAGCTGAGTAGAGTCGAACTCGGGTAAATGCATGTAGGAACAAGCTCATGAGTGAGAGATGAAGTTGAATTTTGCACGTGAGAAGAGCATTCGGGCATAGATGGGAGGCCCGCATGCGAGCTAGTGCGGTTATCGTAGAACTTGTTCTTGCATGCTCACTGATTGGTGGTAGGCACGGATGGGAGGCACGGCCGTTTGGTGGAACTTTTTCTTGGAACATGCAAGTGACGTCTTGTGTCATCCTAAGACTTTCTTGATTTGCACAGAAGCTTGTTGAAGCTGTCTGATGTTGCATGGTTCGAAGCGACAGTGGTGGCTTGGTGTCATGCGGGAAGCATGAGCACGAGCATAGTGCATTATGTAAGGCCTAGGCAGGGGCTGTATAGGGTTCGTAGGAGGAAGGCGGGCCCTGGGCCGGAGTAATCACGAGTGTGCAAGCATGAAACTAGATTTCTAGAGGAGTTCAAGTAGTGACAAGGGGGTTGTTATATTCAGAGCAATATATCAAAAAATGGCAAGATCAAGAACCTCAGGGCGGCAAGTTAGTCGCGGACTTGGAATCGGACAGGTGTTCGGATCATGTCGTATAAATTATTACCCATCAGGGTGCGCTGGTGAGAGTCGCTATCCTCAATGCTTAGTCATATGTACGATCTAATCTGCCCTTTCATTGGCCCGCTTGTGAGGAGTGCGGAGGCCTGCGATTGTCTCTATCCCATGGGGTGGTGAGGCCTTGATTTGATAAGTTGACTAGTCCCCATGCCACATGGCAGATGAGGTGGCATGGGAAGGCCTTTGGGTGCTGGATTTAGGACTTGAAGGGAATTTAATGCTTGAAGATTCAAGTTTGGAAGAATTAGAAGGGATTTTGAAAGACTTTGGCCATGCTTTGACCTATATAAACTTATTATTGACTATTTGACTGGTCAAACAGTCAACCTAAGCCTAGTTGGACAAGGTGTAGAGCTTAGGGATTGATTGAAATGATCTCAAGGCCTTAATATGTTATGCTTGAAGTTTGAAAAGGGGGTTTGAAGTGACTTAACCAAGTCTTATAGTTGACTTGGTCAAAATTCCTAGGATTTGATTGGCCAAGCATTAGGAAATGATTAAGCCTTGGTTGGAAATTGATTAGAGGCTTGAAAGAGGTTTGAAATGTGAAATGGGTTAAAATAACCCATTTAAAACATTAAGGGGTATTTGGGTCAACCTAGGTTGACTGGGTCACCCAAGTTGATCCAGGACCTAAGTTTGGGCTCAACAGGTTTGATTTGATATTAAAAAATTGTTGGAAGTGGTTTTAAACAATCTGGAGGTCATTTGGTTTGAAATGCCTTTTTAGACTCCGAAGAGGTATTTTGGTCATTTTGACACCTGGTCCACTGGGGATCAAAATAGGTCCACAAAAATACAGTTTAATGATCAATGAGTCATAATTAAGGGTCTGGGTGTGATTAGAAGGTTCGGAAAAGGTTCAATGTTCAAGATCCACCAGATGACAGATCTAGTGATATAGACTGTAAATATTTAAAGGTTTTACAACCTTTGGATTTTAATTTAATTTATGAGATTAGAGACCTAAGAATGAGCTAAAATTTGAAGGGTTATCTCTAGAGACATGTCCTATCAATATACAATTGATAGATTCTAAATCAGAGGTCATTTAATTGTTTAAAGTGTTTAAAAATTCAATGGAAAAGGCTTTCAAGACTTAGCTTTTTACCCTTGAATTTTGGTTTAAAATTATGGGTTTGATTTGGAATTTTGATCATATGGTCTGGATTAGAACTTAAGGTCTGGATTGGTCCTAGTGACCTCATACAAAAATGAGATCAACACCCATCAACTATGATCCCTCCGACCACCGTCTCCCACAGACTATGATCCCTTCGACCATCATCGCCAGCTGACAATGGTCCCTCTGACTACTATCGCTTTTTGAATACGATCCCTCCAACCACACTCGTGTGACAACAGCAGCCCATCTAATAATAATCGCGTGTTGACTATAATCCCTCCAACCACCGTTGCCCATCGATTGCAGTCCCTCTGACCTTAGTCACCTGACTATGATCCCTTTGACTTCCATTGCCTGACTATGGTCCCTCCTACCATAGTTACCCAACTATGATCATTCTGACCAAACAAATAAGCCAACATTATTTTGAGAACAACTCTTATATCACTGCATTCTTCCAACTTTTACCATGTAATGTGCTCTATATGATGTGTATTTCCTACATTGAGCCAAGGCACAATATTTATAATTGACTACAAACACTAGTAGAATTATTTTAATTGGCTAAATCTTATGATTTTTATCCATTTAAAGATTTTTCACGTAAATATCCTATTGTCTTTTTTAACTTTTGCATCTCTCTCTCTCTCTCTCTCTCTCTCTCTTATTTGCCTATGTTCTAGATCTTTTACGAAGCTTGGATGCTAAATCCTATATCTCTCTACCATCGCAAATGTTCAAGATGCAACAAATGTGAACATGTCAAAGGCAAGAATATTAATATTTCTTGAGCTTTTACATAACAACAACATGAACTTCATTTGAACATGAATATAATATCAGAAAATAATACATGAAACATAACATGTAAAATATAATTTAAAACATAATTCATATTCAAAATCTGTTTATACCTCCACTTGATCACATTAGCACAATTCCCCTTATAACTACACTTTTACTTATACCTTTACTTATTCATCTCACATATGTTCAAGATAGATGGAGGAATTACATATAGTATAAATATCCTTGTAACTCCACTTCCACTTAAACATTTACTTATTCATCTCACATATGTTAAGGATAGATCGAGGAATTATATATTTGCAAAAGCTCTTATAATTTCACTTGTATTACACAACATAAAACAATCACCACTAATATAACCTCCTCTATATATCCTCCAAAATATAAACATAACATATAAATTTCATCACATAATTATAGAAATATCAACATATTCAACATCTATAAGCAACATTTAAAATGATATAAAGATACATGAAAATAGCACATTTATGATATATTCAGTAAAATACATGAGGTAAAACTAATAAAAGTATTAAACAATAACAAATTAGAAGTCATTCACGAGGAATATTTGTACCATCAATTTGAAGCATTTATTATACTCTAGAAATTTTTTGAGGTGTTAACATTCTTACAAAAAAATATTTGAAATAATTTATAAGTCAAACTAACTAGTGAAAATTTACATTTTTCCTTTCAAAATGACCAGATTAGTTTGTTATAAAACATATCAAGAGTTATACAAAAAAAAAAATCTAAATCTTCATAAAATAAAGTCCCAGAAATACCCACACAAATGTCGAATTGAAGTCAAAAAGCACAACATCTATAACCTACCTCAAGCTGAACAAATTCCTCAACTAGCTTCACGAACTAAATCAGCTATGCGGCCTCCACAGTGCTGCAGTACTCCATGCAACTTCTAGTTGGAAGAGAGAGCATCATCGAAACTACAAGTCATGGTGCTCCCAAGCAATTTCCCTCTCGACATATTTTTAGCTTTCTAAATTCAATCTACAACTTAAGATAAAATTAAACCTGAAATAATTGAAAATTTTCATAGAGACCTAATAGATGCAAAGTGAACTTGTAAATATTACTTGTTCTATTTGGATCATCAAGTAATCCAATCACTGCACAAGCAAATACAAAATTTTGAACCATAAAAAATAATTATAATCATTCCCAATTATTCAACGTGGATTGCAGAGGTGAATAAAAGTAATTTGACATATACAAATATCTTGATAATAACAGAGGATCCAAATCCCATGTATAAGAATGAAAATGTGAGCTATAATCGAAGAGGAAGAGCATCCAGCCATCCATGAATCAACATTATTCAATAAAATTAAGAAAGTAAGAGACAAGTAGAGTAAGGAATAATTATATTAGGTAGGACATGTGAAAAAAATCTAGTAAAGATGAGATTCTCAGAATTAAATTTAATCTTTTGGGCATGTTTATTGAAGGTCAAAGAGGTACAAGAGATAGTAGAATAGGACAAATTTGAAGTAATATGAAGGAAAACGTAATGAAAGAAAGCCAAAATAGTCAAAAGTTGCACAAAAAACTTGATAAACTAAATGACAGTATGAATAGGAATTAATAAAAACTATAAATAAATAATTGGATAAGGTTAAGGATGTTGTGCTATTGAAAAAGCTAGACCTACCAAATTAATCTCCTTGGAGAACAAAAGTGTAGATACATGATTCATTGTGAATTATTCCATGAAAGATAACCATTTAACTCATTAAGTTTGATACGCAAAAAAAATAGTTTTGAGTATTCAAAATAAATTGCATCAACTTTGAACTTTCAGAAATATACAATTTCAAAGTTCTTGCAACATAACAAGTACTTACTCATTACATAAGAAGATTCAATGGCATTACCTACCTTCTAAAATTGTCAATGTGATTTCATTTTTTGAAGCATATATTGAAAATTCTGAAGGCCCTTCATTTCCTCCAGTGAAGAATGCAGGCTTCTTCGGATCTTGTAAAATTATGTTTTCACTACCAAGCATTGTAATAATTTCTGACATTATAGGTCGGTCTTCTGCTTTTTCCTGAACACACATAAGTGCCACAATAATACATTTTGAAACCTCATTTGATAGGATTTTTTCACCTAATGATGGATCAACGAAATCCAACCATTTTTCATTTTTCCATAACTCCCATGCCTGAAACATACCATTTTTAGTTATTAAGTCATAAATTTATGGCCTAAATTGTATTAATCATATTTTAAAAAAATCAATACAAATATAATATCTTACATATACAAGCAGGTTTAGAGCTTTCCCAGACTTATGAAATGAAGTATTTCTCTTCCCACTAATGATTTCTAACATCAAAACCCCAAAGCTGAAGACATCAGACTTGACTGAGAAAAAGCCCTCCATTGCATACTCAGGTGACATGTAACCACTACATGTTAACAAAAGAAAGTACCTCATTATTTGATAATATATGTGATATGTATAGTGTTTTTCATTAGCTTGCAAAAAAAAAATCACATACTATGTACCAACAATCCTATTTGTGTTTGTTGGTGTTGTGCTTGCATAAATTCGAGCCAAACCAAAATCCGATATTTTTGGGTTCATTTGGAGATCCAGGAGAATGTTGCTGGCTTTTAAATCTCTATGGATAATACGAACTCGAGAGTATTTGTGAAGGTAAAGAAGTCCTTGAGCAATCCCATCAATTATGGCAAAGCGCTTTGACCAATCTAGTTGTTCTTTTCTAGTTTGATCTGCAAATGCCAAAAACTCATCAAGTGGATAAATAATCAAAAGCTGGAATGGGTACACATGAATTGTAATGTAAGTTATTTAGAATAGCATACCAAAAAGATGATAATCCAAGCTTTTGTTAGGCATGTATTCATAGACGAGTAACTTCTCGTTTCCTTCAATGCAACAACCCAAAAGCTTAACAAGATTTTGATGTTGAAGCTTGGCAATAAGCTTTATTTCATTCATAAATTCCTCCAATCCTTGACCTGAAAATTCATCCAGTCGTTTAACTGCCATACATTCACCTGATGGAAGATAGCCCTGAAGTGATAAACAATTGATTAGTGAAAAACTTGCACCTTAAATATCAAGATGGAAAGTATAATGTTAAAATTTAATTCAACATTTTTTACTTTAAAGACATTTAGTCAATTTCTATTAGAAAAATGGCGCATATCGATAATAATTGATCTTAACCCACCTATTTAAGGTTGAAATTTTATGGTCTAACTCATGGTATTTTGTCCATAATCAAGGCATTCTTCATCAAAAAAATTTTTTTGAGCATAACATATAGAGTAAACCAAAATAATGTAAGAACTAGAATGAATGTTCACCATACACCCCATACATGTTGTTCTTTCTAGTTTTACGTGAAGTTAATGTTACTTTCACATGCATAATCATGATTAAGAAATAAGTTTACTAAATTCATTTGTGGAATTTCAAAAGATGCCTTGAGCAATTATTCACCTTATATACAGAACCAAAGCCACCCTGACCAAGCTTGTTAGTGGAAGAAAAGTTGTATGTTGCTTCCATAATGCTTGAAAATTTGATCAGTGAAAATTCCATACCATTCTCTTTGATTTCAAGTTTTGATGCTAAGTTTGTGCCCTGATTTAATGACATTTGATCATTCTGTAATCGGTTTGTTCCTGTTTCATATAGAAATTTGATTTCATCAATCCAGGAATGAGTCAACTTTTGCTAGAAATAATTTTTCGAAGCATACCTTTTTTTCTTCTTTTTCTCATCCATATTAAATAAATTATTGTACATATAAGTAGTAGTATTCCAACTGGCAAGAAAATGGCGACTCTCCGGATCACAATCTTCCTTCCTGCATACATAAGATTATTTCACCTATACTTACAAGCTCAAAATTATTCATAAAAGTAATTAAAAACAGTGCAGTGATAGACAAGTTGTTCAAGTTAAAAGTTGTTCAAGTTAAAAGTGAGTAGATATATTAGAAAAGTTATAAAGGCAGTTTGGTATGTGACTTGCAACAAAATCTGGATGGGATTACCATTTTTTGAGGCATTTAAACTTGGAATTATTGGCATTTTAGCTAAATTTGAATTAAATTTAAAACTAAATTTTAATGAAGCTATCTAGGACCTTTTTAAAGTATTGAAACTGTGACAAAGCCCTGATTAAAAGTATCCACTTATATAAAAATATTTAGACACCTACTACTACAGAAATTCTTCACTAAAATATCCCCTATGGAGCTCCATTATGTATGGAACCCAAAAGATATTAAAGAGGGTCTCCACGTACATATTTAGAATGATCTGGAGGTCATGCATTCACAAGCCCCAAGGGCACCTAAAGCTGGATTAAACTCTCACTAGAAAGTCCCTAAAAGAGTATAAACATGATTGATTTTCAAAAAGATGCAAGACAATAATAGGAAGTAAATATTATCCTATTTCTATCAGCTTAAGAATTAAACTGATGTGGTACCAGTTAACATGGGTGTGATGGAGAACACCAGACTTCTGCAACGGTTTTGTCCACCGTGGCCACTTCCTCTGCTCTTTTAACAGTCCTGCAATCCACTAGTTTTTATAATTATTAAGTTCTTAGTTATTACCGTATTACCCTTAATTCCTGTTGCTTTTTGTATTAGACGCCTATAGTGAGAGGCGGAGGTAGTGAATTTTCAAGTTATCAAGTTACTGTTCCATTGCCTTGTGTTTTTGTGTCGTGGCTTTCAGTGCAGGATTCCGGCGAAGCTTCCGGTTCCACACCATAAACTTTATAACCTATACAGCCACCAACTTTAATGAAACTAGGAATTTTCATATATTTTTAAAGACAAATAAAAGACTTGGTCTCTTCTATGGGTTAAGTTCTAGAAGATCCTAGTAACTCTACTGTTAGTGGAAGAAGATCCAAATTTATTACCCCGAATATTATAATTTAAAAAAAAAAAATCTTCCTACTAAAACTCCGGGGTGATATCATATAAGATTGAAGGATAACATACTCTTTTATGAAATTTGGCAAAATTCCATTAGATGCATAATCCTGTAATTAGTCTATAAAATTTTGCTACTAAATCACCTTTTGTAAGATTGACAGTTCTATTATGTATTGCCTCAAGCTGTTTTAAAAAGTATTTTCCATATCTAAAACAACAAATCCGCCTCCTCACACAAATTGTTCTCAGGAATTGAAGGCTTTTTTTAGTGATCGAGAAATCAAATTTGGCAAATTTTGATTTTTATAACAGAGAAATCCGTGCTAAGAAACAGACCAAAAATTTTCTAAGAATAAAAGTATTTGTTGAACAATCATAAAAATATTTTAGAATCACTGCACATATCAAAAAACATTTCTGAAATCCCGAAAATTTTAAATGATTCTACAAGCCATTATGATTTTCTAAACTTAATGAAGGACAGATTTGCTAAGGTTTCAATTTGGGTAACCTTGTTTTCCATCTAATCTGCAACATATCACCAAAAAAAAATCCGGATATCCCCGGCCCGTAATTACAAAGAAAATATTTCTATTTTAAATATATCTTATTATTGTGATGCAAAAATATATTAGGAGCTCGCGAGATGAATACTTTTAAAAATTAACACGGTTTATCAAACTCTGCTGCCAGAATAAATTTTGACGGTCATCCGAGCTGTAAGCACTAGTTGACGGTCATCTTGTTTCTTTTGCAAAATCGCAACCAACACGGAGTTAAGAACAATACCTCCATGAGATAAATCGGCCTGTTGATGGGTAACATTTGGCATTGAGGCATTTCTGGGCAATGGGGACGATGGCTGTTGATGGGTAACATTTGGCATTGAGGCATTTGTGGGTAATGGTAACGATGGCGACTGATCAGAAGAAAGCTGAAGCATGGGCGTGCCGTTGTAGAATTTGTACAACTCATACCTTATATTACACAAGATCCCCAATGCTCTTCCTCCCTTTCCGGCCCCTTGCAGGTAAAACTTGCTGAAGTCCACCGTCTGCTGCAAGCATGTCCGGCAGTCGCCTACGGACAGATCCAGCGTGCACTGCACCAGACCGTATATATTATCTCCAGCCGTGAGCGCTGCCTCGCCGGTGGCAAAGAGCCGAGATGTGTCTGTCACGGCCAGTTCTGACAGGTTTCCCATAAGTTCGGTGTTCAGGATTTCAAACCTCTGAAGTCGGTCTGCCGAGACCTTCTGGGTATTAGCTAACAAGCATTGGACACTAGTATTGACGTCGGGGCCGTATTGGATTTCCTGATTGGAGTAGCTGAGTTGGCATAAGTCGTACCATATGGTGGCTTCCTTCTTGTTTGAGCAGAGCTGGTTGGTGTCGGAAATGGCCGTAGAGATGCAGGAGCGACAGTTGGCGATGTCGGTGTCGCCGCGGCAGAGAGTAAGTCCATAGACACGGTCAGGGACTATGCCGATGGTGGCGGTGGCGAAGCCGGTGGCCAAGGCGCCGGCCAAGGCGTTAGAAGAGAGAGTAAAGATGAGTTGGTTGAGGTTTGAGCTGTAGGTGCTATTCCTGGTGAAGTTTCCTGAGCCGCAGATATACCAGAGTGGCTCTGCAGCGGAAGGGGAGGCGAACAAGTATAGGAGGATGAGGAGAAGAAGGGCCATAGATGTGATGCAGATCATAAGGATCAGCAATTCTAAGATGATCTTCAGTTCTAAAGGTGGAAAAAGCTACTGCGCGGAGTCTTCGTCAAGATGGAATCAATAATTCATTGATGAAATTTCTTCGGCAATCATTAATTAGTGCTTATTATTATGATGGTGCTATTAGTGCATAAAGATATATAAATTTGTATTATCTTTATATTTATTTATTTGTGTGGAGTGGCGCTCAACTATTGGGTATTATGTAATGAGGCCATTCTTATTCTCTATATCTACATGCTATCAATATGTAATAAGACAGGGTTTTCAGTTTTCTCTTATTCATCTTCTTCTCTTTCCCTCTTCCTCTCTCTCTCTCTCTCTTAATTCTTCTCGTTGCTGCTTGCGTTCTTCAGGGTATCAAGGGCGGGTTAAGCTGATTGCCCGCAATGATAAGTTTCGTCACTTCCCATCACGGAGAATAATCAGACCCGGTGAATCTTGAAGATTCATCCATCCTATCGCCTCTGAAATTTGTCTGTCTCGAACCAAAAGACCATCGTTTCCGCTCAACTCGCTTCCGACAATTACTCTTTATGGAGATCTCAAATCATCAAAATTTTTTATGACAATATATTTGGCAAGCTTCTTGATTCAAAATTTCTCTCCCCAACAACCCTCATTCAACAATCTGACGGATCTTCTATTCCCATCACACTCTTCAACCAATGGATTTTAACATATCAAAATCTTGCCGCATCACTATGCTCTACCATTTCTTCATCTATCCTTCCCTACGTTGTCAATCTTGAATCCTCCACTGCCATATGGTCCACTCTTGAAACAAAAATTCAATCTACAAATATATCAAAAGTCTTTCAACTCAAGAATTCTCTCCACAACATATCTCTCAAGAATATGACCATAACGCAATATCTATCGGAGATCAAGTCCTTAGTTGATCAAGTAGCCACTTCCGATTCTATTGTTGACACCGAAGATGTAATTCTTTACATCCTCAATGGTCTTCCCACTTACCATCAGTCTTTTAAAACTGTAATCCGAACCATGCTCACTCTGATTAGCCTCGATCAACTTTATCCATTACATCTTAGTGAAGAAATCAACATAGCATCTGATGTCGCTGATGCCTCTCCGACTGTTGATCCCAACACTGCCTTATTCTCTTCCAGGGGAAGAGGTTGTCAAAACAGAGGCTGAACTTCCAAGTATTCCAATAATACAAGTCGTCAGTTATCTGCTCAATCCACAATCTATCAAATCTTCTTTAAGAAAGGTCACTCCTCACCTAACTGCTGGCATAGGTTGGATCCGCACTACATACCGCCCTCCTCGACCACTCAAAATAAAGCCCTAGTCGCCAGTTCAGATAGCTCTTATACGAACTAGTATCTTGACTCGGGAGAAACATCATATCTCATAAACTCGCTTGACAACATGTCTATCTCAAATCCCTACCAAGGCTCTGACAGTATCACCATCATTGATGGGAGATCAATTAACATTGCTAACTCAGGGGCAGGATTGTTACCGACCCCATCTCGTAAGCTCAATTTATCTCAAATTCTCCATACTCCATCTTTAAACTAACAAAAGATAATGATATTTCTATTACTTTTAATCCCTCGGGTTTTTAGTTTAAGGACATGAAGACTCATCAAGTTCTACTTCAAGGACCATGTAAAAACAGGCTCTACCCTATTCGAACTAGCTCCGCGCACACCTCGCCTGCTTCAAGCATCGTCGGCCACTACTACCTCGCTTCCTTCGTGGCACAACATGCTTGGTCATCCTCATCATAGGGTGCTCAACACCATAGCAAAGTGTAACCCAAATCTTCATATAAATGTGAATTCTTCATCTTGTTTTCTTGTAAAGAGTCCAAAGGCACAAACTTGCTTTTGACAATTTTGTAACTCGCCATAACTCAATTTTGGTCTTATTCATTTGAACATCTGGGGTCCTGCTCCGATCATATTGATTCAGGGATGCAGATACTATGTTATATTTGTAGATGATTTTTCTCGATTCACGTGGATATTTCCAATACGGCATGAATCAGAAGTTATTAATGTTTTCATTACTTTAAAAATCAAATCGAGAAATATACATCTAAACAAATTAAAATCTTATGAACTAACAGGGGTACATAATATGTTAATCAATCATTCAATCAATTTCTTCTAAATCAAGGTATTACCCACCAAATTTACTGTCCCTACACTCCGAAACAAAACAGAGTAGCTGAACAAAAACATAGGCATATCATAAAAACGAATAGGACATTACTCAAGACTATGTCTGTTCCTAACAAACACTGGCTGGAAGCTATCCTGACTTATGTTTATCTTATCAACCCCATGTCATCACCTACGACAGCTAATATATCACCATTTGAACTCTTACATAACATTAAACCTAGCTACAAATATCTCCGCACATTTGGATGTGCTTGTTTTCCTCTAGCTCCCCCTCATTCTCATCAGAAACTTCAACCCAAAGCTAGATCTTGAGTGTTTCTTGGTTATTCAAATACTTACAAAGGTTACAAGTATTTGGATACTACAAACAATAAAATCATCATAGCAAGACACACAACCTTTGATGAGTGTTCCTTTACTTTTACAAAATCCTCTAACCATATCACCACTCCTACGGATATCTCTCCCTTTCTTACTACTCCCATATCTATCCCATTATCATCACTGCCTTAACCAAATCTCCACACTAATCCTTCAATACAGTTATCTTCTGATCCCTCTCATTCATCTCCTATCATATATTCTCCCAATCAGCAGGAGGTACAGTCAACTACATCTCAACAATCACGTTCTCACAACTTGCCGCACCACCACATGATCACTAGAAATCAAACGGGATCACTCAAACCTCGAGTCATTCTAAACCTTTCCATTTTAATACCTCGTCTGATCCCATTGTCTCTCCAAATAGCTACAAATAAGTTGTCAAACACCCATAATTATGCCAAGCTATGGCTACATAATTTTTGGCATTATAGAAGCAAGGGATAAGGAGTCTTGTTAGTCCACCCCAGGGATCAACCATTCTAGGTTGTAAATGGACTTATAGAACCAAACTACATGTTGTTGGCTCAGTGGCTAAGTACAAGGTGTGTCTTATTGCATAAGGAAATCACCAAGAATTTAGCTTGGACTACACTGAAACTTTCAGCCCTGTAGCCAAGTTACCCACAATACGCATACTGCTTGTTGTTGCTCTTCATAATGATTGGCTAGTTCAATAACTTGACGTAGCAAATGCTTTCCTACATGGAAAACTCTTAGAAACCGTCTATATGGCTCAACCAAAAGGCTTCGAAGACTCCACTCATCCTGATTACATATGTCTCTTCACAAAGCCATCTACGAACATAAACAAGCCCCGTGTCAATGGTACAACACATTCACGACATACTTGGTATCTCTGGGATTTTCACACAATACCGCTGACCCATCTCTTCTAATATTCCATCAACAACAAATTCAAATCTTTATTCTCATTTATGTTGATGACATACACATAGTTGGTAATAATAATAATAATAATAATAATAATAATAATAATAATAATAATAATAATAAAGCAATCTCCATGGTTATTGATAAGCTCGACAACAATTTTTTAATGTCATACCCGGGCACTGCTCAAAACTTTCTCGGTATCAAGATCGACCAACATGATAAAATGTTTTTTCTTTCACAAAAGCAATACACTCTTTCGATCCTTCAACAAACTCAATTAACTCAATACAATTCGTTAGCGAATCCCACATGTGCGAAACTTCCTACTGTTTTTCCTAAGGAAACCATGCTCTTCGATCCGCATCTATATAAAAGAATTACCAGGTCACTTATTTAACACTCACTCGCCCCGACATCCCGTACAGTGTTAATCATCTCTATCAATATATGCTCAATCCCCTACCTCAACACATTTATATTCTCGAGCATCTTCCACGCTATATCAAAGGTACGTTTGACTACGGTATACCTATTACAAAAATTAATATGGTTCTTATATCCTTTTCAGATGCTGACTGAGCTGGAGATCCAATTTCTCAAAAATCAACATCCGAGTATTGCTCATTTCTAGGTGAAACAATCATATCTTGGACGATCAAAAAGAAACAAATGGTTGCTAGATCTTCAACATAATTCGAATACCATGCATTAGCTACTCTTATGTCCGACATTATCGGGGTTCGTCGACTTCTCTCAGATTTTAGCATTCCTCGGAATCGTCCTACAAACATGTACTATAATAATACTTTTGCTATTGCACTGGCTAATAACCCGGTGTTCCATGCCCTTACAAAACACATTGAAATTGACTAGAAATTCATAAGAGATCACCTACAATATAATAACATCCATTTCCTACCCATCATACACTATCAAATTCATGATCTTTCTCATTTGATAGGTCAATAATACTCATTAGATTTGTTTATGAACGTGCTTGTTCGATAGTGCAAAAAAATCGCTAAATATGTTCACGAATATAGTTTGTTAAGGCTTGTTCTTTCTTTTGAATAAAAAGCCGAAGCTAGCATATATTAATAAAGCAAAAGCAAAGATACAACTAAATAGTGGATTCCTCGGCCTTCAAAATGTTAAAGAATGAAGAAGGAATCTTATTCAAAGTGAACTCATCCCAACTAAAGCTACTAACAAGAGCATAGTTAGCACACAAGTTTGCTAACTTATTACTTTCTCTACTAATACAATTGAAAAAAGCAAAATTAAAATCTTTAAGAAAGTCAAGGTCTTCTTCTATGTATATACCTTTTTTCCAAATCCGTTGCATAAAAGAAATGATGTTGGAGTTTTCACCTTTAATTATGATACATTTATATTTGAACATTCAATCCTTGATGACTTCCTTCAAAGACTGGATTGCAAGAAGCTCCAATTGTGAAATATCCCAATGAATGCAAGTTTTACCAAAAGCAAATAGAAATCTGCCTTTATAGTCTCTGAATACTCCAGCAATGCCTGCTTTATAAGAAGGTAGAAGAGATGCATCTACATTAATCTTTAGCCATTCGGGTAGAGGAGGTTGCCAAGAATTAGACAGTCAGCTGATCGACTGGTTGACATCCCAGTTGCCCAAAATAAAATGGCTATAATTATGAAGTACTGATGTATAGCATATAGCATAAGATGCAATAAAAGATGGATTTTCTTCCACTCCTTCATGAATGGTCTTATTCCT